TAATTTATATTAGTTAATGATGTCATTATGCTGCTCAATATAAGCAGTCTTGGTAGCCAAAAACTTGGCTGAGTTAAAAAGTAAATAATAAGATACCACATTTGCCATCAATTCTAAATTATATTCAGATAGGTTATACCTATATTCTGTCCAAAACTTTTGAATTACATTAACGTATGTCAATCAAATGAAATTTGTTATTATTATCATTGTATGTCAAACTGAATAAAACTAAATTTACGGTTTTTATCGCAAGTAAAGTAAAGTAAAGTAGTTAAATAAGCGCGATAAAATTAGTTAATTTAGTTTTATTCAATGTGTAGTATTCGCGTAAATTTAAGAAATCATTATTATATGTCAAATTTAAATAATTATTACAAATTCTACCGACACTAATTATTATTGTACAATTTGGACAAAATTTTAGTTACTATAATTTTGATTAAAACTACTTTTACGGACTTTATCGCGTTTTATTTATTTAATTTTTAATACCCGACGTTTTAGGTGCTTTCCAGCACCCATGTCACGGGGACTGATGTGACTGACGTCCCTATGACAAAGTGAACCCGGAGTACCTTCAGCTTTTTAATTATTGTCTTTGGTCCGATCTACGAAGAATGTGTGTGTGTGTGTGTGTGTGTGTGTGTGTGTGTGTGTGTGTGTGTGTGTGTGTGTGTGTGTGTGTGTGTGTGTGTGTGTGTGTGTGTGTGTGATGTGTTTTGAAGTCTTGCAGTGATATGCTTGGGTTTAGTTTTAATTTTATTAATTATAGGGTCCCAAGCAGATGGTGGTACCCAGCCTCCTTCTCTGTTCAAATTAGTTTTTTTTTTTAAATTTCAATAGCCTCGCGTTTCATCCTTGGTAGGAATCGATGTACTTTCGCGAGGATTTGTGTTGTCTATCAAATCTGATGTAATTGTTGGGGCTATCTAGGATAGGAACGTTGATACTTCACGTAAGCTATGTGTTCTTTTACGCAAGTTATAATAGATCTCTTTGTTTGCCCTATATATGAGAGACCATACCAAAAAGGTAATGATTTTTTTTAAATTAATATATATTAATAATATAAATGCAGATAAGTATTCGGCCTCAACTTCCACTAATCATCATGTGAACTGCGTATCCATTTATCCATTTTGCCTAAAATAAATAATATTATTCATGCAATACCGTCCTACGTGAATAAATATACATATATCATGAGAATTTTAGTAAGATACTCATATAAATAATACCCATGCAATGTATTCTTTTAAAGAAGAAAAGCTAACAATAAGTTTCTTGTCGGCCACAATTGTACGTGCAAACTTCTTATACAAAACAATCCGAGTAAGACATATTCACGCTTCGGTTTCTATTGTGCGCGACGTTTTTTTTATTGTTTCTGTTTTCGTAAGATACATACATGTCCTCCTACTTTCTACTTTCAACTATAATTATATTATTATAATTAGATTAACATTTTCTCGTCTTTGTTATAAAGAATTGAGAACTGATTAGTAAAGTTTGACAAGTCTCGTATTACTGTGTGGTACAAATTACCCATTTTGTTTGCCACAAGACTCTGGTTCAAATCGTCTGAAAATTCAGCAATTCAAGATGCAAACACAAGTTACTAATGTGCGAATCAGTATATTTGTGACTGCCTTAACGTATTTATTGGTACTACATTTAAGACTAATTTCGACCGATTCGTAGTCTAGTGATCCCACACGATCAACAGTCGTGCTCACGTGTACAAGACTAAAGAGACAGTCAACAATATAACTATATCAGCCATAAAACATCCATCCGATTCTACAAATATCTAACCTTGATTAATAAGTAAATTGTAAATGCGTTGTCACTCTTGAGGACTGAGATGGAATGCTTATACAAACAAATTAGATTTATGCTATTATTAATAGTATTCTCTGAGGGCGGGCCCCTTCCTCGAGACGACCTATTAGTGCATTTAAATGCATAATACAGCTGCACCGTGGCACTATTGTGGTAAGCAATGTAAATCTTGAGCATTTATTGGTAGGAAATAAATCTAGTTATAAAAATAATCATTTGCCTTGTGGCGGTTTAATTATGAGGATAAATTATCACCCAGTTTCGTCCTGTGATAGACGTAACAGTGGAGAGATCTAAAATTACTTTGTGGTTTTTGATAGATGGGGGTATAAGATAATGTATAACCCATAATTAAAATATCTGGACTGTCAATAGCATGCCTTGAGGATACGCGTGAGACACCACCTACTAAGCGTTTTGGCAAATACTTTCTGAAATAGGAGAAATAAATTGTGCTTACACCCGGCAACGGACACTTATGGACTTTTAAGATATAAAGGCAAATATGCAAAAAATGGGTTTAAACTTCAAGCTAACTTTGTCGCGTTTAACTCAAATACGTATAAATAACTTTAAATACATCTTAACTCTGTTAACTGCTATACGATATTTTAGTGATCGTTTTGTTAACTTACCAAAACTACCTGCTACTAACCCAAGATGTGATGGAAAGCAGATTTTGTATGGTTTGACGGTTCGGTACTCGCCAATCCAGTGTGTTGAATCTCGTCACAGAAATTATGGACCGGTGTTACGTCTTAGAAAAGATTTTTTTTTCGTCTTTCTGAATTAGAAAAGCCGTTGAAGATTGTATAAAGTAATTTACATTAGTGATCGAGATTCGATGCAATACATAAAATTTTTGGGTTTGTATATTAAGCAAGCTATACCTATTTCAACATCATATTAATATATAAAACACAGATATCTTATATAAATAAAAAAATAACTTTTTTCCTTGACATGACGCCAAACTCTATTGAAAAGGGATAATGAAATCATACAAAATTCACAGTTTTGCAATTATCAGCGTTATAATATAAAAAATAGCAGAAATTACTTGTTGATAAATTTTTAAAATAATTTGGCGACAATTTCTACCCTGTGCAACTGTGTGACCACAGAATTTTAACTATTTGATAATTTGTACAAGTGATGATATTGGTAACGCAAACGTATATAATTTGTTTCATTTTATTTAAATTTTGGCTTTTTGCACTTCTTCTGCATATAAACTTTAACCACAAGAGTAAAGATTAACCATGCCAAATCTTACACTCCTACGTGCGCGTAATATGCTTAAAAGTAGGTACGAAATTTTCGCTTCACGTACTGATAGATTGAATTATTATAAGTACATTACAGTTAACTGAGCTTTCGGCGTTAGAATGAAATGCAATTTTCTCGGGCATGAAACCGACCAACCAACATCTTGATAAACTTGGAATAAAAACATTATCTAAATAAAAAAATATATCCAGATCGTATATAGGAGTACAAATTATAGAAGGATATAAATTTGGCTTCTTTTCAATTTTTTTATTAAATAGCATATTATAAATAAAAAGTATTTCTGTCCACATTCTGAATGTTTAATGAAAAATTTTGGCTTGTTAAAACTTTGCCATTATAGTAAATATAAAAATGACAAAGTAATTACATTTATTCACGGCTTTTCAGTCCGTCGCTGTGATTTAATTATTTTCATTACGCTTCCCAATTACCTACATGACGGGGAAACTCAATTAATAATGTACATTTCTACTGCAAGTAATGTGACATATTGTTTTTGAGTTTTTGAAGCGGGTCGTTATATACGGAGCTCGTTGTTCGTATTTATAAGTAAAACTAGCTGTTACCCGCGGCTTTGCCCGCATGGTCACTAGGAAATGAACTATTCATTGCTTTTTGAATTGAAAGAAAACTGAGTTTTATAGATTTGTTAGAGAATTGGCAGCGACGGTCTACCTCGATTTCTTCGTCACCTATAAAATATACTTGTAAAAATGTATGCTGTCCGTTTTCAGCTGAAAAAGTGAACCTATTCTTTGATAAATTTGCCCTTGCAACGTAAATGTAGGCGAAAATCCCGGCATTATTATTTCTCGGTCAACTCCGAAGACCGTCATTTGAAAGCATGAGTTATATTTCCGGATCCTGTTTAAAAAAGCGCCGCGACTCATTAGCATCATATAAAAAGAGAGTTTTCAGAGGTCCTTCTGGTTCCCAAGTAACGGAAGAGACACTATGCCATTGGAACAGCACATGCCTGCGGTCTCATCTTTCCATTTTAAAGCGCTGCAAAATCGACACGACTTGTCCATCAGTCCGATAACAACTAACCTGTGATTTTTATAATCAATCAACGGATCATAATTGAATGCTGCGTCATTAAAAACCGACCAATTGTTTCTTTGAAAATTTTGTCGACGTTCAGCTTGGAGCTGTGCATTTGCATCTCTTCGCGCCTGTGTCTGTTCTGGTGTTTCAGATGCCCTTATAGTAGATTGACGTTCAGCTTGCTCAATGATTCTGTGTGGAGTTTCATCAGGTGTTTCCGCGGCTCTTAAGGCGGCCTGACATTCCGCTTGTTTTTGACACAAAACAAATCGCTGAAAACCGAAATCGAAAGCAGTAGTCAATATAAATATAACCAACGAAAAAAGAAGTGAGTGTAAAGGTAGGTACCGTATACACTATCTATACCAGGGGTCGCCAAATAGCGGACCGCGGTCCGCATCAGGACCTCCGACCCATTTTTTGCGGACCCGCGAGAACACAGTAACTTATTCTAAAGACTACTTCCGATATAAATAACTTTCTTGGCCCCAAAATGATTGACGCGAGCTGTACGTAATTTAATAAAAATGTATCCCTGGCATTATCTTTGTTGACGTCAATTTGAAAACGGCCGGGCGAAGTAACGAGTGAGCGAGAAAGAGTTCGCGGATTGCGGCAAGTGTCGCGAGGGCAGGGTAATTCATCACGTGATCGCTCTGCCAGCCGCCGGGAGGTCAGTGTTTTGTTTTAATTTTGAGCGAAGGACGCCGCGCGGCGCGCTGAAATAAATATAACGTTTGCTTGTTTACTTTACGAGTATAAGTACCTACCTGTTTACAATAGCGAGTTTTGGCTGTTTATAGCGAGTTCTGACTATGGAACCGAAAAAAAGAAAAGTTGAAGATGAAAATAGACAGTTTTTGCCGGAATGGACCGATTTATATTGTTTTACGCTGCCAAATCGTGCTGGAGCGTTACCAATGTGCTTGATTTGTAACCAAACAGTGGCGTTAATTAAAAGCTCGAATATAAAACGACATTATGATACCAAACACAAATCATTTGCTGGAAACTTTCCACTTGGTAGTGATCAGCGTAAGTCTAAAATTGCAAGTTTACTATCAAGTTACTCGTCTTGGACCCAGATCATAAGTCGCTCAATGGCTGAGCAGGAAAAATGTGGTGAGGCTTCTTTACGTATTTCTTGGACTCTGGCTAAGCATATGAAACCATTTACTGATGCTGACGTAGTTAAAGAATGCTTTCTTGAGGCGGGTAATGCTTTATTTGAGAACAAAAAGGATGTTGTTGAGACGATACGACGGATCCCGTTATCTGCTTCTACTAGCACTAGAAATACACACGTTTTGGCAGAAGAAAATCATTTTGATTTGAAACGGCAGTTAAATAATGCAAACTATTATGCCTTGGCTATGGATGAATCATGCGATGTCACTGATACGGCACAGTTAATTATTTTTGTACGCTACCTGGACAAAACGAGAGAAACTTTTGTTGAGGAGATATTGGCTCTTTTGTCGCTCTTAGGAAGAATCCGAGGAGAAGACATGATAAAAGCAGTGATGGATTATTTTGAAAAAGATGAGTTAGACTTGAAGAAGCTCTTATCGGTAACTACTGACGGTGCGCCAGCTATGGTTGGGAGTAAAAAAAGGACTAGTTCACCTGTTGAGAAGCAATGAGAGATGTAACGAAAATTTGATTTCCTACCATTGTATTATTTATGAAACTGTGCTTTGCTGCAAACTCAATCATAATTTTGAGCGTATTATGCAAGAAGTGATGAAAATAGTAAATTTTCTTCGTGCTAAATCATCATTGCAACACCGTGAATTGAAATCATTTCTTGAAGAAGTTGATGCACAATATGACGATCTACTGTTGCATAATAATGTGAGATGGTTAAGTAAAGGTTGCGTTTTAGAAAGATTCTTCAGCATTTTATAACACTTGAAGACATATGTTTTTAACAATGATCAGACTTCAGCAAACGTTTACTTAAGTTTTCTAAACGAAAAAGAAAATGTTGCTGTCATTGCTTTCTTAACTAATACTTTTAAACATATCAATGACCTGAACCTTAAACTTCAAGGCATGGGAAAGCCGATATGCGAGCTCATGTTAGACGTCGAAAGTTTTTCTCGAAAACTTGATCTCTTTATTAATGATCTTGGAAATGAATGCCTACACTTCCCCAATTTAAATAAAATAATCAGCAGTGACAACGAGACAGACGTCGGCCGATTCAAGACGTTCATTACGGATCTTAAATCGGAATTTCAAAAAAGGTTTGCAGATTTTAAGAAAATTGAGAATGTTGTAGAAATCCTCAGCAGCATTTACTCTCTGCTGCATCCTGATGGTGAATGGAGCAATGAAGCTGCAATTGTTTTCGGAAGTGATAAAGCTACTCTGCAGATGGAAATGATCGATTTCCAAGAAAACACAGTTTTAAAACACAAACAATCGGAAGTTTCCAGTGAAAAGTTCTGGATAAAATTTGTGTGTGGTAATAAATATCCAAAATTACAAAAATTAGCTTTGAAACTTCTTACTTTGTTTGGATCGACATATATTTGTGAAGCATTTTCGAAGATGAAGTTCATTAAGAATAAATTTCGATCTCGACTTACTACTGAAAATCTCCAGGATTTAATGTCAATAGCTTGCACCAATTTTACTCCAAACTTCAGACAGATAATTCGCAACAAAAAATGTCATTTTTCGCATTGATACCTAAGTAACCTTTGTTATTTCCTTAATTACGTTTGTTTAATAAATATTCTTTCTTATAAATAAAACGTGCGGACCAAGATGGTCATTTCATTTCTTAAAACGGACCCCGAGCGAAACTAATTGGAGACCACTGATCTATACTATTAATATTCCTTTGAAATATTGTTAACCAACCTAAAACAATGAAAACCAATTCACGATTCTAAATAAACAAAATCCAAAATCAAAGCCAGAGTCTAAATATGTATAAAGCCAACTACAGTACAGAAATACCAACCAAATCAACAAAACCGATCCAAGAAAATACACAAATCCTAAAATAAAAGCCAGTATAAATCCATTCAACCTTAACTAAATCACAAAGCAAATAGCAAACAACCGAAATCGAAAGCAAATTACGTTAGCTGCGGCCGGAGGTTCGAAAAAAACCAAAATTACTTATAAAATATATTTAAAATAAAAATTTCAAATTATGTTACTATAGCTAATTAATCTAACAGAATGAGCCTGGTGTAAATGAATACGTGATATTTTATACATCCGGCACGTGGCTTGAATTGCTGCGCCTGCATTTCTGTCGGTTTACATAGCAACTGTTCTAGGTACATAGTCGGCGATCTTCATATCATAGGTATATGTAACTCCTCCACCCTCAGAACGGCAACTATTTGAGTATGTTCACGGAAAATGTTACCGGAATTTCGTAGTTTCCATGATCTCCTGAATTAGGTGTTGGTGATTGCGCTGCTTTGCTCGTTTCCTTTCTTCATCTTGATATGTAGCGACGGGTGGCCAGTACAAAGATAAGGACACCTCCATTCGATAATATGATATAAAAAGGGAATTGTCGTATGATATAATGTGTCACTTATGGCATGTAGTTGTACTAGTGATTGCATGAGTATTTTGTCTTGGATGCTGTGTAATCCTTGGAGATAGATTGAGTTTAGGTGAATGCGGGTAGATGCTGTAGCTTGTTCCGGAGATCTGAAAGGTAGTCCAGTAAGCTTTAGAGGTTGAGCTTTTATCTCATTATTGTTGTTGATGATGGATAACTCGGCAGTTTTAAGAAGACAGCTGGCTGGAATCGTAATGAGATAACTCCCTTATAGCATGGTGAATTATTTTCTTCCGCAAGACAATTGTACCTTGGTATAGTGTGAAAAGGACAGGATATAATGCTGGTCATCTAGTTTTTCTATCGCTTCTTTTGACAGGATGATAATAGAAAGATTGCAGGCTTCTTGTATGACTTGCTTGGTGATCAAGTCTTAGATGCAATCGGGTTGTTTTAGAATCTGATAGGTAGTGCGTTCTTCACAGAGATACCAGTGGTTAAACTTCGGACGTTCTGTCTCAATTTACACTAATGATAACTCGTTAGTTGCTATAAAGGGATAGGTTGGGATAAGGGCCTGTGAATTTTTATTTGGGACAATGGATAATCTATATAAATCAAAATTATCTCTAGAAGTTATGGGAAATTTAAAGATGAACACGATTTATTTCTCCGTGTAATATGAGCCGAGTTTTATTACATCATAATAGTTCTAAATTTGAATTCTAAATTTAATATCTGATCTGAGCTGTAAATAATTCTAAGCTGAGCTAACATGGAACCTAATACACTTATATCTATCATAGAATGGTGCGTGCTAGATGCACGAATAAAAGCTAAAGTGTTTTTTTATTCTAATTAATTCTAGCACTAATTCCTCTACATTATCACTAATTATTTCTAAGAATTGCACGAATTTAGCGTATTTAATTAAACTAGTTTGCCTATATGCATTACTATTTAATATAAGTATCAAAGTCTCATTAAGTTTTTCTTTGATTTTCCGTTATCTCAATAATTGCATTACTTTGCTTAGACATCCATTCTTTACTTAAGCTGAGATATTGATCGAATTCGGATGCAACGCTCAGTTGATTATCCTTAAGGGTTTTAATTGCCTCGTTATATCTTAACGCGTCTGTATAATCTAAGTTACCAGTTATGCTTTTTATGACTGAACCAAGACTATCTATAAGACTTCTTTTAGCTCTACTGGGCTCTAGGGTTCTGGGATGACTTAACACCTTGCCAAGTTTGTTAGACAGATAATCTATTTGGATTTAGTATAGTAAATAAGTATCGTTAGTCAGTTGGTTTTGGAAAGTCCACGTGGACCACGTTTTTTAGATGTATATATATAAATGGGTAAATCGGCTAATACAGTGTCCTGAGTGTAACGTGGTGCGGTTTTCTGGCGGGCGGCAGATGGATTTTTAATAAAAACTTGCTGCTGCGGCGCGTATTCTATTTCCGGTTCGCGGTCCTTATTCCTACTCTCTATAATGTGTGTGCGATTGGCTAGTGACGTGCTATTAATAATTTCGTACACGTTTTTCATTTGATCCCTATGCGTCTGTACATACTGCTGTAGTAGTTTCTGGGTTATGTCGATGTCGAGACAGTCTCTATGGTTAAAGTGTCCCGTTAATAAGTCAAATGGTCGACATCCAGTAAAACTGTGTATTGAGCTATTGTAGGCTATTATTGCGTAAGGCATGAGATTGATGACCGGTTCGTCCTTATGTTGTAATTTTAAAATTCTAATATGTTCCAAAAGGGTCGAATGGAACCTTTCAATATTACCGTTATCGTTAGGAGAATGGGCTAAAATACGATGGTGATTTATCTTATGGAGTCTAGTAAATTCTAAGAGTAATTGGTTAGTGAACTCTGCTCCGTTGTCAGTAAATATTATTAGGGGAACACCATGATGGGTACAATATTGTAGAAGGGCCTGTAATATACTAATAGCGGTTCCGTCGCGTAAATGGTAAGCTTGTCCGTATTTTGTAAAAACGTCTATAAAAGTTACATATTTTTCGCTTTGAACTGTAAAGAGGTCCATGTGAATTATCTCAAAGGGTTTGGTTGCAGGTGGTACTACATTAAATTGAGATCTTACTGGGTTTCTATCATATTTGACCTGTCCGCCAATGATACACTCGTTAATAAATTTTGTAATATGGTCTTTCATTTTTGGCCAATAGTATTTGCGAGATAATGCTAGGTAACATTAATACCACGGTGGTTGGTTTTACCGTCGTGATAGTGACTAATAATTTCTTGTTGTCGCAAGTATTCCTTAACATTCTCTAACTCAAATTTAGTTAAAACAAGGTTAAATGAAGAACTTTTAAATTTATCCTGTAGGATTGGTATTACTTTGTATAATGCTAAAGGTGGTTTTATTAAGAGAGCTGTGTTGATTTTCGGATTGACATACTCTTTTACAGCGTTTATGACGTCTCCTTCAAGACTATTTTCCGATAGTTGAATGGTAACACGTGTATCGTAACATAGGTATCGAACGATTTAGACACAATGGTTATTTGTTCAAGTGAATTTGTCTATTAAACTTATGGAATGGTTCGTCAGTTATAGGAATTTCAAGTATAGGGTGTTCATTACTGATGTGTATGGTCTCAGTCGAAGAGTTCGCAATAGCTTCGCTTGGGTTGCCTATTAACGAGTTTAGTTCGTCAATTTCGTACATTAACATCTTTATGTCTTCATTGTGAATCTCTATACGTGAGAGAGCATCGGCATTGGTGTTAATTTTGCCTTTCTTATAAATTACTGTAAAGTCATACTCGCTAAGTCTAAGTCGCCATCTTGTGAGACGAGAATTTGATTCTTTCAAATTCATCATCCACTGCAATGGTTTGTGGTCTATCAAAATTTTAAATTTACATCCAAACAAATATGGTCTAAAGTATTTCGTATCCCAGTCTATGGCGAGAAGTTCTTTTTCGATTGTACTGTAATTAACTTCGCTTTCGTTTAACGTACGAGAAGCGTAGCAGACTGGTTTGTCGGATCCTATTGGACCTTGTGACAGTACGGCACCAATGGCAAAGTTAGAAGCATCTGTCATTAGGTTAAACTCTT